ACGGTTATCGCCGAGAAGTACGGGTAATTGCCGGTGATTTTTCCTACGCGCGATACTCCCGATAAACGTGAAGATACGGAGAACGGGGGATGGGAAATTACCCGAGCACGAATTTCGAAGTCGTTTATGGGTCACTCGCGCGATAAAAATTCGATTTTTCTATCATCGAACGGAACATTTCGAAACCGTCGGACACGATTTTAAATGCTCGATGAAATTTATTTGACGCCGTTCGTTGCGTAAATTCCGACAAAGCAAACTCGAATTTTTTCCAGTCCTTCTTTCCGTGGTTAATAATTCGTTTGTCGGGGAAACATATTTTACGCAGACATATCGGTGCCGGTCGTCGAGGGAAAAGAATTAATTACAGTTTGAGCTGTCTAATGCAGCCTCGCGCTGCTATTAGAGACTTGCCCGGTGGAATCGAAACATTATTAATAGCCGGTCACGTTTGATCGGCCGCAAAAGTTTTCTAGCAATTACCACACCTGGCGAAATATCGCGATCGCGTTTAAGGGTTAATCGGCAGAGTGTTGTAAGATTCAGGAGCGAGTTATTCGCGGCCTGCACCGTCTGCGAAATTTTAATCGCTGCTCGGTTCACCGAACCGGCGAGCTATCGTCGGGACCGTTTCGAATCGAGAGCGAAGTGACAGTTATCCGAATCGTAGATCAGGAAATTGTGTTAGTTTACGAAGCGTAAATTTCTGACGGATGTCTGATATTCGGGAAATTATCTATAAAGAGGTTCATACATATTTCACTCACAGAATCTGTTAACGAGTTAGAATTTTCAGAACACTTCCATTGCAATTGAATAAAATTAATATTAACCCCTTGACAGGTACGATTTAATGTTATTTTTCAAAGGTATACTATTTAATTTGGGTTAAATTTGTTCCTAAGAGGTATGGCTACCTTCTGAATGTAAAAATGTGTAAATTTTAATCTATAATACTTAATGACGAATGAGTAGCTTCATAATTGTGAACCTTGACATCAAGAACTTGTGACGTGTCAGACTCGTCATTGTATGGGAAGAGGTTAATCGCAAAGATAAAAGAATTAGAAACTCTGAATATTCCAAACACAGAACAATCTGTAGCATTCCGGACAAATGTAACTATTATAATAATATTATTTATTTTGTTGTTTTGTATTGATTTCTGATGTTGTTAGATTATAAATATAACAGTAAAGGAGGTATAAAATATTTAAATGATTTAAAAAAGATTTGAAGTGTCCGGTACTAGGGGAACTGCCCCTAAATAATCGACGAGGGCGGTTTTCCGGGCTGCGTTGCGCAAGAATCCCAGGTACGAGACAATTAAAATTTACCTCCGCCGAGTGAACTCTGAGAACGTAATTCCCGCGACCGGGTCGCGCATAAATTTCACGTTTACCGGCGTTGGAGGCGCGAGCGAAACCGCGCCGCGTTGCCCAAGCGGGCGTTCTCTTCCGGGCCTCGAGCAATAAAACCCGACGGTCGGCTTTTCATACGGCTGGGCGTCGAGAGAGAAAGTCTCGCAGGTGGCTCGATAACCCTCGAGACGCGCGAAACGTTAACGGAGAGCAGAAGAAGTATCATCGCGGTCCGTTCTCGAGGCTAGATCGGATAAAACGCGAACAGGGGAGGAGTGATTCGTCGCGGGAGGTGACGGAGGGGGGAGGAAGAAACAGGGAGGAACCGCGAGAAGAGGCGAGAAGAAAGGGACAGTATTAATTGACGAGGAGGACTCCCACGAGAAGAGTCCATAGACCATAATTCTTTCTTAATGTGACGCTTTCCTCTGCTCTCTCACCCGACGCCCTCGTGCTCTCCGCGCGTAATCTCTTCTCGCGTCCGAGTGTTTTTCTGTCCTCTGTCCACACACGCGTCCTCCCCCCCGTGAAACCGAGAGGCAGTCGGGAGTGGATCGAACCCGACGATGACCAGATATTATGGCCATCCCCCCGTAAAAGCCTCCGCTCGGAGATTGAGCTTTCCCCGTTTCTCGCCGTTTATTATTGCGCGTCCGGGCCACCACGAGTGGATTAAGACGAAACGAGGATCGGAAGTCGCGCCCCGAGACCCGTGGGGGCGTTCGATCGAGGAAACAAAGGGAACGGAACCCTCGAAATCGGAGAAATACGCGCGAACTGATACGCACGGAACTGACACCATTGTCTGGCTGGGGGAATATTACTTTATACGTGTCAGTGTTTCTCAAACTTCGTCAACCATGAATTGGAAACTAAATATTTCTATTAGAAATACATCACTGTACTTGCCTTGCATTAAACTTTACCTTTTACCTATTTAATTTAATTTATTTGTACGTAATTAAATTCACAAATGTAGCATGGTCTACGGTGAACGATTTTCATAAAATTTAGTGTAAATCAGGATTTTTCTAAAGCTATTTTCAGAGAACCATGTGTAACAAGAGTGGTCTATAGGGTGGAGGATAAAGATTTCCGATCCGGGGCCGATTAAATATTTTAACGAGTCGAACTGGACTGAATTTGCCCGCCGACGAATTAATAACTCCAGGCAGCGGCGATGGAACGATCGAGCCCGATTCTGTTCTTAATGACTAATTGGATAATGAATCGTTCGTCGAAGTTATAATGGGAGGCCTTTTGTGCCGGGTGTGGGAGGTTGGAGGGGGCGGTTAGAGTTCGCGGGCTAGGATCCCCGGAATTCTTGAAAGTGGAAATTAATTGACAATTAACCGGCATTAATGCGCTGGCTTCCGATTTGTGTTTCGCGCGAGTGGCACGGCTCTCGAGGGAGCGACGGTTGGACCTTAATCGCGCCACTGTTCCCCTCGAGCGTATCGTCTTCTCGTGTAAATTCGAAGGGATAAGGGAACTCGATAAAAAGACCGTGATGCTTTCTCCGCGCCCGAGGCTTAGCCACAAGGAGCGTCGAATCGACGGTAATTCCGTCCAATTAGGACACACCCAATTAGGAGCCTTAGCCCCGTTCTCTTCTTTCTCCGCTCCCCATTTCACCTCCCCCGAGTCACGGACTCTTGCTTCGAGGAGCACGACAGCCTTCGACAAATCTTCGAGAATCTGGGAAACCGGATCAGATTTCACGAGGAGAACATTATTCGCGATACGACTCGGATTTTAGAAATCAATATTTATTGCTCGATAATTAAGTCTTACATGAGGGTGCAGTAGACGAAGGAACCTCTCGCGGACTTTAATATTACTTAATTCGACTTAAACTGTAAACGTTGGTCTTGCAAATACGCGTCTTAGACTCTTAGAAATCATAGTTCTCTATTTCTGTAAAGATATATCAAAATCGTATGAAATGACGTTGTTACTACCGTCGATAATACTTAATACACTTACCGCATACATAAAATTACCCAAATGATTTACTTACGGGTTGCAATGTTTTAATAAACAATCCAGACACGCGGATTAAAAGTAGTAAAACTTTAAACGCGTGCAGTTCCGAAACTAGTAGTGTTTTATCCATTTTTGAACCGCCGTTAGAAGCGGCAAAGCCTCCCCTTTAAAATGGTTTTTTGTTTTTGAGAATCCGACTTTCCGTTTCGGAGATATCGCAATTTATGTAAAGAGGCATTCTTTAAATTCCGCTATCCACGTGTATTAATGCGTATTAAAAATACCAAAACTTTAGACGCGTGCAGTTCCGACACTACTAGTGTTTTACTAATTATTGAGGCACTGTTAGCGGCGGCAAACCTTCCTCTTTAAAATGGCTGTTGGTTTTTGTCGATCCGACTTTCCGTTTTCGAGATATCGTAATTTATGTAAAAGGTAATTTTTTCAATTCGACTATCTCTGTCTCCGTCTAACGCGTCGGACCTCTCTCTCGCTCGTGCGTCGTGCTGACCTACCCTACGAACGTGACTGTCGTGACCTAGTTCCGCGTAGTATTTCCAAGAAATTACTACGCGCTACTACTTGCGCGCGCGTGGTCATTCACCTCGCGTTAATGAAATGTAAACAAACTCTTCGAACCCTTATATCTCCGTAACTAGCCACCGCATCGACTTAAAATTAAAATCCTCATATCTCCGGAACTAATTACGCTATCGATTCGTACAAACGCTCATTTTAAAGGGCATTTCATCCTCTATCCTATGACCATATCACCTACTATAATTTATGCTATCTTCTATGTTTATTTTGACATTTACTAAGACGCTATGTACTTAAAAAAGTGTTAGCGATTTTTATAGATCATACGACCAGTGGGCAACGAACACTGAATTCTAGATTATTTATTTAACGAAAACTGGGCTTAAATTTCTATATAGGGTGCATTTTATCGTAAATGGTAGCTTTCTTCGTTGAAAGTCGACGCAATTACTGGGAATATAACTTGTAGGTGTTAATGAGGTTTATTTCCGAGATACGACAATGGATATACGCGTATCCAGTAAATAATCATAATAGCAGTTCACGCCCTATGGCGTGATCTCTCGCTGGCCTATTGAGCATCGAGTCGTACCTCGACAGAAACGAATGAATGCATTATGACAAGCTGCGAAGGGTCTAGAACGAATTAGGGAGGATTACATTGCGCTGTTTGCCACGAGGGGTGCATATTGAGCATCCGTAAGACTAAGAAGTACCTGCGAGAATTCGTTTACAAATTGATTTACACTGCATTTTCATACGGAAACCTAATGTTAATTAGTAATAAATTTTCATGTTGGAATTCATGAATTTCGTTCGATAGAAGTTCACGAAATAATCTTTCCTTCTTCTTACGATACATTTGGTATCTAATTTTAATTTATAGGGACACAATTTTACAGAAAATTATAAGAGATTGGACTAATAATTTTAGTCGAACAATAAATCTCATTGTAAAAATTCTACAATCTTCGATGATCCGATCATCCGACTTTCTCTTATCTCAAAGCCTTTTTCCGCGGTTCTATCCATCAAAACGATAAGATTACTATCGAAAAGTCCCCGTTATTCCCGGATTTGTGCTCACGAATTGGTGGATATTGTGTGTTCCAGGCGGCCGAGATCGAGAAGTCAAGACTGCCGGCGTTGAACTCCGGTTTCGCGAACTCCAACAACACCGGCGGCACCATGGACAGCATCCTCTCGCTGTTGATCCCGGCGCCGCTACGCGAGACCCTGTGGACGACGGTGGCCCTCTACCTCGGTTGGAGACTGGTGTCCCGTCTTCGATAGATGTTACGGTTTCGTCTTGTCGTCGTCACTGGCGACGAAGGCGATGCCAGAAGAACGATCATCGACGCTTGGAACGGCACCGTGGACGGGCGTCGCGGCGCCGCGTCGCCCGGTGAGCCGGCGACTGGTCCTTCCAGCACGTCGGGGATTTCTCTTCAAGGTTGCGACGCTTACGGAGGTTCTTCCAAGACCCGCGCCGCGGTCGGAGAGATCGAGCGCGAAACATCATCGTTTCAGACCGTTTCGAGTCTGCTGTTCGGTTCGAACGGTCGTCGCGGGAGGACGTCCTGTCGCAGCAACCAACAAGATCTGCATTACGATTACGTATTTTCTATGTGTATTACGCGTCTCGCGGTCGAGATTGCACCGAGGCCGCTTCGTTTCTGGCCCTTCGATTGGTGTCCTACGGTCTCTAGCGAGGACGAGGTGGACAGCGGAGGATCCGTCGATGGCGTCACGAACGAACGCGATGGTTCGGACAGAGGCACGATCGACGACGAGGACGACGAGGACGGAAGCGCGCTGGCTCCTCGCCCGTCGCAGAGTCAGAGTTACCTGAAGCCAATTACTATTTGATGTTTCCTGCAGCCCCGACGATCGCGGAGGCTCTGACCCGGCGACGGTTCCAGGCGCGATCCTCGTCGTCGTTGTACGTCGTCCAGACTCCTTGCTCGCGGTTATTCGCGATACTCGGGATCGCCGAACGATCGATCGACGCGCGACGCAGTCTCGTTGGGAGAAGTCCAGGTGCATTCTCGGCCGCGGGGGCGGAAAGCTTATCGTTCGAACCAGTTCGACACGATACGTGTCGCCATCCTGTCTCGCCCCACGCGGCGAAGGTAAGTCGCGCGACGATTACCCCGGGGAAATCGGGACTCGACGCCCGGCGATCGGATCGCGACACGGGCCCAGGTGAGGATGACGGGGAGCTAAGGACGAGATCCAAAGAGGACTTAACCCAATAATCAAACGACGATCTCATTATGAATATAAAAATAAAGAGAATTAAATAAAGTAGTGCGATCTCGGGAACGGGACAAATAGGTAGTCGTTTTTTTTTTTTATTTTCGTTTTTTCGTCTCAGTTGCTCTCTGCGCGTCTTGTTCCGTTTTCGATCGTTCATTACCCCCCTGCCCGTTGTTCTTGCTCGTGGTACACCTATCTGTCCCGTTGCCGTCGGTAGGAAGTATATTGACGTGCTTGTAGATAACGCGATTACCTAGCCGATACTGGCAAAACACAGAACTCTGTCTGGGATATAATGACGCCGTGCTATGTCGTCTCGCGAAGTCCGGAAAAAGAAACATTTCGAGGGGGGCGCGAATCAGGCTAATTCGTCGAAGCGTTCAACGGGGGAGAAAGCGAATGTTCGAGACACATGCCGTGGGAAACTGATAGGAACAGACACGGTAAGGATGATTAAAGTGTTACGGGGAACATAGGCGCAAGGATTTCTTCCACGATTGTACAACTATCGGGAACGTTCGATAAGTGTAAAATGGAGTTGTATAATCCGTCGTATGACGCGGTCTAGTTACGACGATTATTGCAACTCGTGGAAGAGACCGTTGCTTCCATGGGCCCCGTTTGGAACGAGTTTCGAGCGAAGGGGGTCCGTTCTTGTCAGTTTTCGACGGCGATCGGAGTCGCTGGACGCCCCGATTGGGCCGATAGTCGAGTCGTTTGTACATAGATAGCGTTTCGCGGGGAGTCTCTCACACAGTGTATTCCAAAAAAAAAATGAAAAAAAAAAAATGATGACGTAAGCGAGAAGAGAAACACGATTGTACGCGATCGATGAGCAGGTAGGGAAACGGGCGAGGACACGTAAACGTTGAGAGAGGAGCGACGTAACCGTATTGTATAGAAGATTTAAACTAAAATAATAAAATTCAGTAATAAGTCGACGTTTTTTATAATTAAAGTAGATAATCGATAGGTCGAGGATCGCAGCATCTTAATTGGCTAGCTGCGACTCCCGTGGACAGTTTTCGAATGATCTCCGGTAGCTTAGCTCTTAGTGGCGCCCTCGTCCACGAAGGACGCCTTTCACGGCACGCCGGAAACGGAGGTGGGTGGATATTTCAACCCTTTCTCCCGCGTGTCGCTCTTTCTCTGTCTCTGATGCCTCCGTCTGTCGATTCTTTCGCTTGTTTCTAACCCTCCCCGTTCGCGCCCGCGACTCTTTTCTTTTTTTTTCTTTTGCTTCTTTTCAATCGACGCTCTGTCTCTCTCTTTCTCTTCCAATCCCTTCCGTTCTCTTTGTTTCGAAGTTTCCCCCCCATTTGAAAAAATTCGCACTCTGTTTCCGGATCTTCCGATTTTCTCTCTCCAGAACTTCTTCTATTTTCACTTTTTTATTTTCTCTTTCTTTCGTTACTCGTCGATCCTTGCGAATCTGTAATTTAAACGTTTGATCTCGTGTATTAGCGTATTTTAGGGGCTCTCGTTGTTTGTGTTCGCGACTCGGGACGGGATTCTCGCGTGCCGAGAACGTTCTTGGGAGTTCGAAGTGGAATTTATAAATAAAGGATAGTTAGTGTCCCTGTCCGGGGCCACGGGGTCAGCGCCGGGCCCCGACGAGGGATGAAACCAAAATCATCATAAGGCTGTCGATACGATGTATATTCCCGTGGACCGTTCTATTTGTCTCTCTATCTGTCTCTGTCTACCCGAGTAAAGACTTCTCTTTTAATTATTAATTACCCTTTTTTTTTTTTGTTTGTTTGTTTATTACGATCATTATTATTATTATTATCGATCATTTATTATTATCGCTATGATTATTATCATTATTACTTTTTTATTTTTGTTTGTTTGCCTTTTTGTCTCTTCCACCTTAAGTAACGGATAAGGTTTTCGTGACGTAACCCGTCAAAGTATTTCAGTGTGTAGGAAGTAATAGTATTTATTTATAGTTAACGGCGTATGTAGATGATATGTGTCTGTCGTCTGGGGGACTAATTTTCGCGAGACATAATACTGCCATTCGTCTTAAAACTAAACGCGTAAGGTGTGTCTGTGTTAAGCAAAAACCCGGTGGTCCCCGTTCCGGGGCCGTTTTCATCGAGTAGGCCCGCGTCTCGTTTCATTCATAGAAAGTCGACGTTACGAGCGTCCTCTTCGCCGAGGCTCGAAGTCCCGTAGAACCAGAATAGATCGTCCGACCGTAGATTATCCAGGATCAATAAAAACACAACCCATAGTCGACCGACAATTCCGAATAAGCTAACAAAAAAAAAAAGGGGGAAAAGTTTTTACGAACCGATATTCATCGTCTCGCGAATCTAAAACGATCAACGGACAGAATTACTAGAGTCTCGATGTTCACGTAGTAATATAGTAACTAGAACGTAGCGTATTATTTCACGAGATAGTTCTCGTCGATCAGAAATAGGACATATTTCTGGGGAGCACAAGTTCTGCGGTGAGCCATTCTTATTTGCGTTTCCGATCGGCTTTGTGATACGATGGTAACATATAAGTTTAGCGCTTTAGGGATCGTTCGTTCTTTCTTTCGTCGCGTTTCCATTGATTTTGTACGAGTCGCGTTTTACTAAGTTTTAGTTTACACCGAATCAGAGGTTATGATCGTACTTTTAGTCGTATTCTAACGAGATATTCCAAAGGTTATTACCGCTGTGCGTTTTTGGGTTCCCTCGAGAGTCTGGCCTCCTCGTCAGACAGTGGGGTTCAGCAGCAACTTGTCTCCGGCTTTCGTCATTTAGAATCTTTTAAGTTTCGATCGAATTTTCTTCTCTCCTCTCTATTTACCCGAGGAGGGGGTAAACGGGAGAGCGAGCAGGATCGTCGTACCATTGTGATGTAATAAGATAGTAATTGCCATTGGCGTCGTGACGTTGCCGCCCGGCCACGGGCGGCTCGTGTACACGAAAAGTTATATTATTAAATAGCATTCCGACCAAAGGAAAGGGAGAGAAAACACGCGACAGTGTGGACTTTGTAGAAAGAGAAAGAGAATAGTAATAAAAGAAGAAAAAAAAAAAACAAAAGAAACAAACAAAAAAAATGAAGAAGTAACGAAAAGAATGAATTACTGTTTTCCTGCAGCGCAGTGAAACCAGCGCCAAAATGGACGGCCTGTGAGGTCGTCGTCGCGGCTACTTAATAATCTCTTTCATTTTCTTGTTTTTCAACTTCGAATGAAAAAAGAGATATATATATATATATATATATAAAAATATATATAGATAGATATATTTAAAGAAACAAGAAAATAGAGCACCGACACAAAACAAATTTTATCCCCTGTACATTCGTCCCTTAGTGATCTAAAACAGATAAATCACTAAAACGTAAATTAGAACGAAAGTAGTAGACGCCTACAAAGTGGCGCGATAAAAGCGGGCCACTTGCGCGGAATTTAAGATAACGCGGGAACCACGTAAGAGACGTGCATTGTATATAGCCGCATCTTCGTGGACTCGTGCGATAATACCATAATCCCCCGGTCCAACGTTTGTTTTGGTGTTTCTTTTTTTCTATTTAGAGGTTTTTTTTTTTTTTTTAGTAGCCTCCGTTCGTTCCGTTTTCGGTTTAATTTTTACCACGCTTTAGAAACGATAAAATCCCTGTAGGAGCATTCTTTACGTAGCCTAGTAGTCAGCCATATTTAAGAACGTATTATATGGATAAAAATATATATGTATAATGGAAAACACGTATATATATATTTTAAATGGTATATTTGGAAATATATATATATATATATATTATTATTATCGAAATGCTGTTTCGAGGCGTACCGTGTGCGATATAAAATTATAGTGGTAGTCGTATATCTCGAAAGGGCAAGCCTGGAGAACGCGAATTAGTAATGGCGGAGGATGTGTTTCTCGATTAGAGACGATGATCTCTTCATCGATGAGGTTCACGAAGATCGGAGAACGACAGCCGAGGCTGGGACATAAAAGCTGTAGCTGTGACTATGTGGATCGCGGGGGGCAGACTGTATCGCGAGTTTTCCATTCCGTTAAGCGAACAACAAAATTCTAAGATCCGGACGAAATTACTGTCAACCTTCCATTGCATTACACGGGAAAACCAACAAATTACTGTATACGTTTGCTCAAGAAATTTTACAGACTTTTGGTACTTCCCCTTTACGATAGAATTTCAAATCATTCAGACAAAACGATTGCAAATTCTTGTGTGATACTTTCAGCCATTCTTTTATCGATCTTCTTTCAGATATATAATTTATAAGAGGCAAAATTTCAAACGTTTCCAAGTAAAAAATTTCGATCAATAAATTACAGTCTGAATTGCATTCAAAGTTAAATCGTTCCAACTAAAATTTTCCAAATAGATCGGAATCATTTTCACCGGATGGTTGATCGTAACGAGTCAGTAAATCCGGATGTTACGAAATCCAAAGAGGAAGCCGAAATCGTCTCCAGCGATCGAAGGGAAAGGGAAGAGCCTAGCTGGCGTAACGTTGCCCAAAACCGATGACGAACGAAAAGCAGCCCCCCGTCCGAGGTCCCCGCACGTCAAAGCGTCACTGTGATCTCGTAATTATTAATGAAATATCTGATTATCGTAACGAATAATCGTATTGAATATTGTAATGTATCCCCGATACCCCCTTATCCTCTCCCTCCGAGAGTAAGAAAGAGAAAGATCCACCCGCGCGGAGGCAAACCCGATCGTCTGATCGGGTGTCCCGAATCTCTCGGTTCTTCTTTTCTTTTTGTTAGTCTCGTTTCGTTTCGAATCCCCCTCTCCCCCCCCCTTGTCAAGGTATTTTTTTCTCGTTTTAAATGTTAGCTCGTAATCGTGCGTTACACACGCGTTGTAACGAAAGTTTCAAATGATCTCTGCAGGTGTCGAGGAGCGGGTCGATCGATGATCTCTGTTTCTCATTTTCGTACGTTTCGTTCCACTTTTCTCGCTTTCTCGACTATTTTCTCCCCCTGTTCTTCCTCGTCGTTCGGTCGAGAAACAGAGATCCCATCGACGATCGTTCCCGATCGTCACCGCTCGAATATTATTTTTTTTCTTTTAAAGAAGAATATGAGACGTTAAAGTACGAGGGCGAAATCACTGTTCGATGTGGATAAAGCTACGCGATCGCAAGCCAGGTTTAGGGCAACGAAGATTGATTGTCGCTGTGCGCGTTACGCGCTCCATTAATCCGGCCCGCGAGCCTATCGTTATCGATCATTCATTATTATTAACCGTGTATCTCGTCGTGTGGTAATCTGTCGGCTCGCGAGGTCCTCGATGCAACCACCCCCGTTGCGCTGCACAGAGGTAATCGAGCTAGTCTTTATCGGACCAACCGATTGTTTTTTTTTCTTCTTCGTCCTTTTGATGAGATTTACTCGTTTCTTACCTTGGATCGTGCCCGGAGATGGGCGAAATTTTAACGTGGATTTACAATATTTTTAACACAGAAACTACAGACAAAATTATATATTTTGCGTTGAACGAATGAAAGTTTCATTCGAAACTCTTAAAGACACGCAACTTTTATTCGTTCGATGAAAAGTGCAAGCTGAATTATCTGATAAAAATTGTTTAAAATTGACGTATAATTCGGCAGCTTTTCGTATCGAATAAACGTTGCGACCGAAATTCTGCTCGTCTGTGGATGCAGTTTCGGTTCCGATGAATCGCATATGAAATTGTTGGAACGTCGATCGAGGTCGAAAGTCGCGGGAATCTTCGATCTCGAGCGAGGCGACGCTTGGCTTGATTTTACGTTTTCACTTTCTTCTGTTACCCACTCAGCAATTAAATTAACGTAACCACACCGTAGACGATAAACTTGATGTTTGCCGACAGTATTTAAACCGGGGCTCGTCCCGTCGAGAGCGAGTTTCTATTTTTGCCTCCTTCGTGTTCGTGATCTTTGTACGATCCGTCTCTCCGTTCGTTCGCGGTCACGATCGAGCCTCGGTTTCGAATAAAAAGACGGTACGAAGATGAAATGTATTTGAATGTATTTAACGAAACGAAAAAAAAAAATGAAAAATTTGTATAAGAAACTTGATTACACGTACACGCGTATTCTACACATATGTACACGTACACAAGCAGACACACACACACACACACACACACAGATATACGAGACACAACATGAATGTTAATATCGAAGTATAATTGACGTATAAATATCGCGTAAGACCTAAC